ATAAGTTAGAATTATTTGCAAGATGAATTTTGAACTCCTGAAAAGGCACCCGCCCCTTTGGGAATAATCAGAATAATTAGAGAGTTAGAAAAATTGGCACAACCAATAATCTGGAATTCGCCCAAAAGGCACCCGTCCCTTGGGCAATGGATAGAATATGAAACTACTCAGGATAGTTAGACAGGCACCTGTCCAGTTGGGAACAAGTAGAATATTTAGAACACTTAGCAAAACATATATTCTCTTATCGTTCTGGATATTCGGATCAATGGGAAAAGTAGTTAATTAGAAGTCAATGAATCGGGAATTCCGCCCAACAGGGCACCTGTCCCTTTCGGAATACATGAGTAGAACAATTTGAAACATGAATCTGGGGTTCCCCAAAGGGCATCCTTCCCCTGAGGAATAATTAGAACAGCTTAAATAATTACAGGAACTTGCAAATAAAGTGATGTTGATTTCCTGAGAAGGCACGCGCCCCTGTTTGAACAGTTAGAATAAGCCGAGTGGCTAGAAAAACAAAGGGCGTTATCTGGTCTGTGTTGTTTAATATTCTAATTCGGTAGACTCATTTTAATAACTAGAACAGATACACACGATCTACGCGTACTTCCCCCAAAGGCACCCACCCCTGTGGGAACAATAAGTGAAATGTTTGGAATAATGAGAGTCACAAGGCGATTGTTTAACTGATTCAAGCTTGAAGAAGTGGAACAATTAGGACAAAGAGGAATCTGAATTCCTCAACAGGCACCCGCTCTTTCGGAATAAGTAGAGAAAGTCGAATAGTAGAGAAAGTCGAATAGGAATGATCCGTTGGGGAAATGATTATAACAAATTAAATTAGAACAAAGATGAATCTGGAATTCTCCGAAAAGCACCCGAATCATTGCAATTTGAAGAACTGGCAGAATTGTGATAAGTTAGAATTATTTGCAAGATGAATTTTGAACTCCTGAAAAGGCACCCGCCCCTTTGGGAATAATCAGAATATTTAGAGAGTTAGAATAATTGGCACACACATGAATCAGGAGTTCGCCCCAAAGGCACCCGTCCCTCTGGGAATGGATAGAACAATGAAATTATTCAGGATAGTTGGAGCAAACCTTAATCTGGAATTCCCAAAGGCACCTGTCCCGCGGGGAACAAATTTACTATTTAGAACAGTTAGCAAAACATAGCCCTGTTTGTTCTTTTATTATCATAGTTATTCGATTCAATGGTCAAAAGTAGCTAATTATGAATCTATGATTCGGGAATTCCCCACAGGCACCTGACCCTTTCGGAATACATGAGTAGAATAATTTGAAACATGGATCTGGAGTTCCCCAAAGGGCATCCTTCCCGTGAGGAATAACTAGAACAGCTTGAACAATTACAGGAACTTGCGCAACACATGATGTGGATTTCCTGAGAAGGCACGCGTCGCTGTGGGAACAATTGGAAAAGACCGAATGGCTGGAAAAAAAGGCGTTATTTGGTCTATTTTGTTAATGTGTCTAATTTGTCAGAATGAGTTTAATGGCTTGAATAGTTAGACGCAATGTTTGCGTACTTCCCCCAAAGGCACCTGCCCCCGTGGCACAAACAAGAAACAACAAATAGGGCTACGTGTCTTCGTCTTATTCTATTTATTCTAACTAATTAGAACCACTCCAATACTCACAATGATTTAAACACATCTGCCATTTCCCAAAGGGCCCCTTCCCCATTCGGGAAAAATAGACTAACACGAATGATTTTACACTTGCCTATGGCAAACATGAATCTTGAATTCCCTAAAAAGGCACCCCGCCCCTTTGAGACTAACTAGTGCAATTGGACAAATCAAAGAAGTAGAATGATTAGAACAGACACTGAATCTGGATTCCCCAAAGGGTGCCCGTCCTTTTGGAATACTTAGAATGATAATATTACAAAGAATCATTGGACGAGTTAAAACAGATGCATCTGGAATTCCCCAAAAGGCACCTACCTGTCTCTTGCAGAAAGACGAGTCATAGGGAACAATGTTCTAATTATACTACTTATCCAAATTCTTAGACTAAGTAGATCAACTAGCAACAATGAATTTTGATTTTCCCAAAAGGCACGCGTCCCTTTATGAGGAACACTCATTTAATAAATCGAAGATAAAACACGCATTGTAATTAGACAGTAAGTCAGGATTTCCCCAGAAGGCACCCGCCCCTTTAAACATAAACAAATGTTAGGATAATCATGAGAAGTAGAATAATTAGCACAAACTGAGTCTGGACTTCCCCACAAGGCTCCCGGCCCATTGAAAATAAGTAGAACAGTTACAGTTGTGAATGCTTAGACTAGTTAGGACAAACATGAACATTGAATTCCCCAAGGGGTACCCCTCCATTTGGAAAGCAAATAAGACAATGACAATAGTTTAAATCGAAGAATTACGCTGGATTAAATTGAAGAATTATTGTAATTAGACAGTGAGCCTGGATGTTCAGAAGGCACCCGCCCCGATGGAAATAAATGTTGGAAGAATCATGAGAAGTAGAATAATTAGCACAAACTGAATCTGGACTTCCCCACAAGGCTCCCGGCCCATTGAAAATAAGTAGAACAGTTAGACTTGTGAATGCTTAGACTAGTTAGAACAAACATTAATATTGAATTCCCCAAAGGTACCCCTCCATTTGGAAAGCAAATAAGATAATGACAATAGTTTAAATCGAAGAATTACGCTGGATTAAATTGAAGAATTATTGTAATTAGACACTGAGCCTGGATGTTCAGAAGGCACCCGCCCCGTTGGAAGCTAGAGCAAACACGAGTCTGAAACTCTGTAAAAGGCACCCCCACCCCCTAGAGATTACAATTAGAAGAACTAGAAGAATTGTGTTAAATAAAGTAATTTGCAAGATGAATCTTGAATTCCTCAAAAGGCACCGGAATAATCAGAATAATTAGAGAGTTAGAATAATTGGCACAAACACTAATCTGGAATTCGCCCAAAAGGCACCCGTCCCTTGGGCAATGGATAGAATATGAAACTACTCAGGATAGCTGGAGCAAACATGAGTCTGGAATTCCCAAACAGGCACCTGTCCAGTTGGGAACAAGTATAATATTTAGAACAGTTAGCAAAACATATATTATCTTATCGTCCTGGATATTCGGATCAATGGGAACAGTAGTTAAGTAGAAGTCAATGAATCGGGAATTCCGCCCAACAGGGCACCTGTCCCTTTCGGAATACATGAGTAGAACAATTTGAAACATGGATCTGAGGTTTCCCAAAGGCATCCTTCCCGTGAGGAATAACTAGAACAGCTTGAACAATTACAGGAACTTGCAAATAAAGTGACGTTGATTTCCTGAGAAGGCACGCGCCCCTGTTTGAACAGTTAGAATAAGCCGAGTGGCTAGAAAAACAAAGGGCGTTATCTGGTCTGTGTTGTTTAATCTTCTAATTCGGTAGACTCATTTTAATAACTAGAACAGACACACACACGATTTACGCGTACAAATACGGCTACGCGTCTTCGTCTTATTCTATTTATTTCACCGAGTTGGAACCACTCCAAGACTTGAAATGATCTAAACACATCTGCCATTTCCCCAAGGGCCCCTCGGGAAAAAATAGAGTAACGAGAATGGTTCTGACACTTGCGTATTGCAAACATGAATCTTGAATTCCACAATAATTGGTGTAATTGGACAAATCAACCGTAGAATGATTAGAACAGACACTGAATCTGGATTTCCCCAAAGGGTGCCCGTCCCTTTGGAATACTTAGAATGATAATATCAAGAATCATTAGACGAATTAAATCAATTGCATCTGGAATTCCCCAAAAGGCACCTGTCCCTTTCAGAAACATGAGTAATAGGGAACTGTGTTCTAATTATACTACTTATCCAAGTTCTTAGCATAAGTAGATCAACTAGCAACAATGAATTGGTTAGTTTCTCAAAAGGCACGCGTCCCTTTGGGAATAACTAGCATAACCCGACTAATCAGAAGAGTATAGCCAGGAAATCCACGAAAGCACCCAACCCATTTTGAATAAATCGAAGAATTAGGCTAGTTAGACCATCATTGTAATTAGACAGTGAGTCTGGATTTCCCCAGAAAGCACCCGTCCCTTTGGGAACACATGTTAGGATAAATAATGATTAGCTCAAAGTGAATCTGGACATTCCCAACAAGGCGCCCGGCCACTGAAAAACAGAATGTTAGAATTGTGAGAATGCTTAGAATGATTAGAACAAGCATGAGTGTTGCATTTCCCGAAAGGAAGCCCTCGCTTTGGAAATAACATAAGATAAGATAGTAGGTTTAGAAGCAGAATAGTTAGAGCAAGCATGGATCTGAAATTCGCCAAAAGGGCTCCAGTCCCTTGCGGGAACAAAACAATTAGAATAGCTGCACAAAAATGGAAATTGCGTTGAAGATCCAAAGCACGCCCGTCCATTCGGGAATATTTGGAAGAATTAGACACTTAGAAGAATTGGATTTGGCATTCCTCAACAGTCACCTGCCCCTGTAAAAGTATATGGAGTGATTCGAATAATGAAAACAACAAGGGGCGTGCGGGTCATGTGAGCCACGCGCGCGCTCGCGCGCCACATTATACATGGTCTACCCTTCCACGGGGGGGGGGGGGGTGGGTGGCAGTGGGTGGGGAGTTGGCCGTTGGGGGTGGGGGGTGGGGGGTGAGGGTGGTGGTGGTGGGCGGAGGGATCAGGAAACCTTCAATATCCTTAGCTCGTGCTTTTAAATACCATTAGCATCCGGGTTTCCATGGAAAACCATGCCCATGACCAACAGGTTTATAGAGGTTTGATCATGGCACATGTGTAGCTTGACTTCCGGAACCAGCGGGCTGGCCCAACCCCGACTTCCCAAGCTGGACGTGTTTTTTGGGAAGTTTGGGCGTTTACCCTCCCACCAACTAGCACGGAACCTGATATCTCGGGGTGAAAAAGGGCGGAATCTGCGACCCCCTCACCCCTTGTTGGCGCGCAACGAGGGTGGCGCTGCGCCCCAACGCCTCGGACCTGCGGTACTTGCTCGGCAGCGTGGGCCCGGCACGTCAAATCTAAATCTCCAAATCCCCCCCCCCCCCCGGCGTCCGGTCATGCACTCTTCTTGTTTCTTTTTTTTCTCAAAAAAGGGCATCCCTGACATTTAGGACCCACCCACTAATTCAGCGCAGCTTTGATGGCTCAGCCGCCAGGGCCGCGGTGATTGCTAGTTCTCGTGGGATTCCTGGTTTGCGAGGCACAAGCTTCATATCGGGAGGGGAGCCGCGCAATGTCCCCCACCCTAAATTTCCTGCACAGATCTGGAAGCTTTCACTTTCCAAGGTGGGAGTTTCTCAACATGGAAGTCGGACCCTTGTGCTCTCTAAGGGCAGCAAAAGGAAGTCAAACCCCAGCAGGGTAGCAGTGAAATTTCTCATAGAACTACCATGGACAGCAACTGACCTTTGCGACGACTTTGCGAGCCAAATTCCATCTGTCAACTGCTGGTTTATATTAATATCAAGGCTTGCCCACTGCCCGCTGACTGAGAACCCGCCAGGCCATGCATTCGCAGGGCCGCGTAGCCGATGCCATCTTCCAGCGCCGGGGCGGATTTGGGGGCTCAGATGTGGTTTTCGGTGGGTTCAGTTTGGGGCTGGGCGAATGTGTGGAGGAGATATGAGTCGTACCACGTGTCTAACGGAGCCAGATTAGAAGGGAGATGCCGGGTGCCTGTGCCCAGGTGGCCTTAGGCTCTAAGATCGCTTCCACAACTTCCGAACCGGTGGAAAGCGACATATACGGCATACACCCTTTGTACACTGGCAATGTAGGGGCGCTAAATCCATTTAGCCCCTTAAGGAGAAGCTTCTGCTTAGCGGGAGCTATTCGCAAGCCTTCGCGAAGTCGCAAGTCCCATCCGATCGAAGCGCCTTTGGTTCAAAGGGCGGCCTTCGGGAGTTGGTCCGAGCCTGGCTCGGAGGCTTGGCCGGTCTGTCCGAGGTCGGTCCAGTCCGCGCGGAAGTGGTCGTGGTTTGAGGGTCTGCTTTTTTGGGCTCGTTTTACAGGGAACCCGCGATGTTTCGGGGTTCCCCAAGAAACAGGCACACCCATGAGGCATTGGAGGGTTTCGGCCTGTATGCAGTGGCTCGCCATATGGCATATGGCTCGGAATTGGTATCCGGTTCTAGGTGGTTGGGTTGAGCATGGGTAGTGTCTGATATGCTTTGATCAACATTCCCAGGAGATCACCCGGGCGAAAAGCCAAAGGGAAAGCCCCCATTCGAGGCAACCCCGATCCACAGACAAATCTATGCTTGGAGCCTTTCTTGTTTCTGTTTGCATCAAGTTTCCCAACGGATCAGGAATGCTCGGCCTGCAACATTGCCCGGAGCTGCTCCAAGATGATCAAACCACAACGGTAGAAAGTTGCAACAAGAAGCGACCCTGAGTTGGGTGGCTTCTAGATCCCCCAAAAGTGCCCTTCTCTCCGCTTTTTTTGGGGGGGTTCCCCTACTAAAGCAGACTACAGAAAAAAGTTGGCACCCTTATTCTAACCTCTCTACTGGAGGACCTAGACTCTGAATGCGTTTGAACACAAATTAGCGGCTTCCGGTTGCTTTCGGAGCGCTTCGATACCCGAGCATGCCGTCAGGTGGAACACCACATGTTGCCGAATCTGAAATGATCATGGCAGACACGATTCAAATGTTGGCTTGGTGCAAGCATTACATCTTGGAGGGGGCGATGTCAGATGGCTTCCTCATGTCTCAAATTTGCCGGCAAGAGTTAGTGAAGAGCAGATGCGGTTGGGTGTTTGGTTTAGTTATCCCTTTTGCGTTGACATTTCAACCCTGGTGCACATGAGCTACTGACATGGTGAAGTTGCTCGTCCCTGGCCACTGCGCGCAGGCGACCAATGGAAAGCCCGGCATTCGGAGAAAGACTAGATCGCCTTCTCTCAAATCTAAAGGCGCGATCGACCCACATGGATAACATCCAGGGACAAGGGAGACACTTATCCACGTGGGAGGCGACCTGGTTTCATGGGACTTTGCTTTTGGGCAGCAGGGTGACAGTGGGGTCTTAGCTGGTGCAGGCATATCTCGGTCCAAAAGGCGTGGTGCACATTTGGACCAAACACCGGCTCACCGCGGTCGCTACAGCCCAGCAATCCGTGCCAAGTGCCCCCAGGGGGAAGGAAATATCCCCAGGCCCCCAACCCAGAAACCAGTCACTGAGAGGGGGGGCTAAACAACAAACAACTAAGTTTAGGGACAGTCCCAACCATATGTAGGTGCGGATCTCCGCATTTTTTTTGTGAAGACTCACTGCGATACAAAAAGGACAGATCTTAGCCAACCTCAAACAGTAAGATGCGTTTGGAGGAGATCCCAGCAAATACCAGGTTCCCAGTTCCTCAATTCCCAGTTTTTCTTGGCAACCACGTTTAGCAACGCCCGAAAAGGTGACCAACTTCGATTTCCGGCTTTGGGCTTTTGCTCGCTTCCAGAGTTTCTGGACTTTAAAAACTTATCGCTGAGACTTTAAAAAAGTTCCAGGACTTTTTGGGGGATTTGCTGGGTCCCTGATACTGGCGGTGGCCCAACTTGTGATGTCTAGGTTTCTGAGCTAGGTGCCCTGTCTCTCCCCTTTTTTGGTTGGGAGGGTTCCCCTAAAACAAGCTAATTACCGAAAAGTTGGTACCCTTATTCTAACCTCTCTACTGGAGGACCTAGATGTATGGTGGTTTCAGGATTTGCTGAGTCCCTGATCCCGGTATTGGTCCAACTTGTGATGTCTAGGTCCCCCAGTAGTGCCCTTGTAATTACCGAGGGTTCCGCTGAAACAGACCAAACCGGAAAAAAAAAAAAAAAAAAAAAAAAAAAAAAAACAGTGGCTGGAGGACCTAGTCTTTGTCTCAAAGTGGACTATGTGTATTTGTTTGCAGGGGACCTCAAACTCCGTTTTTTTCCTCTCCGTTTGGCTTCCTTTTGAAAGCCATGAACCTGCGTCCATCGTGGCCTATGCGCTGGTATCTTCTCGCTTCGAGCCCCGCGAGGCGGAGTTCACGCAGATCCACGAGAGCGACTTGGCGGAGCGGGAGAAGGCCTCCCCGCGCAGCGAGAGCAACTCCTCGCGGGAAGGCCCGGGGGGGGAGGGGGCGGTGGGGAGGGGACGGCGGGGGCGGGGGGGTTTCGACGCGAGTCACCTGGCGCCCAAGAGAACGAATCCACCGAAGTCTGACCTTCATTTTTATTGTGTGTGTGTGTGTTTTTTTTTTGGGGGGGGGGTTCTGGTTTGGTCTACAGCTTGTTTGGTTTGGTCTACTTTTTTCTGGTTTGGTGTACAGTTTTTCTGGTTTGTCTACTTTTTTCTGGTTTGGTCTACTTGTAGTCAAGGTCGCACAGGGGTATCCTGTTGTTTCCACGTCCTTTGGGCAAGTGAGGCTTTCTGCAGATTTGACCTCAGCCAGCTCAAAAAAAGCTGGCCCCGAGAAAAACACGTCCTCAAGCCGCCTTGAAAGGATACACGTTTGGTTCAGGAACCGGTCATCTTTACCAGCTGATCTTGTAGATGCCCGTAAAGCCGGTGGTTTTGGATACATCCTTTAAGAGACTCGGTAAACAGAGGCAAGCATGGTTGTCGTTGGGAAGCATTTTGCATTTGTTCTTATTGCGGTTTAGTGAGAAATCCCCGCTTAACTGCTAAAGTTTATTTTCTTGCTCCCCTTGCAACGTCCACCAAGCAAGTAGCCCCGTAGCCCAAGCTTTTTTCAAGGATCCCACCCTGTCACACTTTTTTGATCGGAGAGCCAAGCTGCCGTTCCACCAGTCCATGGCGGACCAGATGTGCGGACCGGCATACCCTTCAAGGCAATATGCAGCAAGGCTGGCAGTTTGTCCAAACGAGCTTTGTGAGGCCGAGGTCTATAGGAAAGTCAAGCAGGTGTGTAGCCGTTTGTTCCAGTCCCCGCTTTCGCGGCGAGGGGGTTCTCCATAGATGGGGTGGGACTAATGCGTCTACCGGAGTCTCCATGACCCTTAAAAAATGGGGCAAGGACCCCCATTTTTGGGGGGTCATGACCATAATTCGGGAAGGGTCATGGAGGCTCCAGGTACTTCTTCTGACTGACATTTTGGGTGTGCCTAATGGGGGATCCCAAAATGGCTTCAATCTTTGTGCCAGCCCACCCAACAAATGGAATGCTTTCTTAAATGGTGTTCCCGAAGGATTGCCGGTGTTTCCCTTTATGGCACCGACTTTTGCCACTCCACTCCGGCAGCGAGCTGAGACAGTGAGACCGAACTCACCCTGTGCTCACATAGCGGTTCGGTCTTTGACCATTCCATCACACCGAATCGGCAAAGATGAAACCTTCTGCTCGCGCTCAGGGAGCCGCCCATGAACCCCAGTGCTAGGTAGCACTGGGCGGAAGGCTAAGGTTGGTTGGCCATCCCTCGGCCTCTTTTCTTAGCCGCCCGCGCTACTCGCTACTGGGCCCTATGGGTTGTGACGGATGGCTCCTTGGAATTTGGGAGACCAAGCCATGAAGTCGGTTAGTCGGTTCTCGGGGATTCTTCAGGTGAGGTGGGTGAGCGGGCTTAAAGAACATCGCTCAGGTGGGGTGCTTGTTTTGAGGTGGCTTCAATGGGAAAACCAGAGGAGATCGAAGTCTGGGGTGCAAAAAACATATTCCACTTTGAGACAGTCGCACTTGGATTTGCAGAGGTGCTAAAGTGTTTAAGATGGATTCACCGGCATGTGGAATGGGAGTTGTGCGCAGACTGGAAGCCCAACAACTCCATCACATCGGTGAACTCCCTACAGCAGACCGACGTAGATGGCTTCGCCACCGGGCTGCAACCGGGCCTGGCCGGACTTTTGATCGATCCCCGATTGGGGGGTACCCAACACGGCCTCACCAAACAAATCCTCAAGGGGGGGTCTGAGGATCTCCATTTGCATGTCCCACTGGCCAAGTTTGAGCTTTCGCCATCTAAGACCTGCATTCGGTGCTGGGAACGGTCCATGGCAACCTGTCGACTTGGGAGAAGCCGAAGCCCCCCCAGATTCTGAGTCCTTTGCGTCAGAGCTTGAACACGCCATCCAAGAAGCTTTCGTCGCCGGTTTTATTGACTGTGAGCCGCTTTCTGAGAAGATCTCTTTGGTAGATAAGTCCAGGGACTTGTTCCGAGCAGTTCGCATCAGAGGCACGTAGGGTGGCTAAGGGATCTGACAACTCCAGGCTTGTTGGGCCCGAACTTCCAGAGGTTGAGTGAACATGCTCGGGAATCCGGTGCTTCATCGGCCTCGATGAATGAGCCCCTGGTTTTTTTGCTGGGAGGGGGCTCTTGTACGTTTGGGGGGATTCATCGGTTTGGAGATATGGATGCTTGACAAGCTTGTAATGCTGTGCAGAGAGCGGTACATACTCCCCATACCTCCACACACCTAAAATGCTCTTGATTTGCGGTTGCGAATGAGTGCGCTCTCCCCCCCCCCCCCGAATTCATCGATCGCTTCCTTTCAACCTCGTTTCCCCCCGTCCCCTCGCTTTCTTTCTTTGGGTTTCAACAGGCCTTAATAGTTCCACGATG